GGCGCGGCAGTTGGAGATGGAGAGGCTGCGAAGTCTGATCGCGGCGCGCGAGGCCGAAGCCGAGATGAAGCAGCGGCTGTGCGAGGTGGAGACGATGAAGATGGTGACGCTCCGCGAGGCGAAGAACCGGGTGGAGGAGGAGCTGTACTCGCACCGGATGGCGAGCGTGTTTGCGCACGGCGGAGGCGGCGGCGGAGCCGGAAAGGGGAGGGAGGGCGGGAGGAAGGGGGAGAGTCGTCCGAGTGGAGGTGGGGGGAAGGGGCACGGGCGCAAGGGGAAGACGGTGCAGAAGGGGAAGAAGAATGGCGGCGGTGGGGGAGGGAAGAAGAAGAGTGGGGGGCGGAACGGGAATGGAAACGGGGACAAGTGAGAGGTACAGTTTTGTGTTGTGTTGATATTGTAAAGAAGAGAGTTGTTTAGATTCAAGGTATGATACAGCAGTGTACAAGTGGCAGTCGTGTACAAGCTCCGGCGGCAGCACGAGCTCCGGCGGCAGTACAAGCTCCGGCGGCAGTACAAGCCCCGGTGGGCTCCGCGAAGGCTCCCGCAGGTCGTACTTGCGGTCATTGGCGGAAAACAGAGGACTGGCGTTTCTTGGCTTGCCTCCAGAAACGCCAACAAGACTTGCTGAAAAAAAAAGTGCTTTTACGCTTGCCTCCAGAAACGCACAAGCTGTCCTGAAGCGCCTCACATAATGTGCTGATTTCAGCACGTTAAAGAGCGTTTCTGGTGTCTCTGGACGACCGGCCCCAAACGACGATGCCCCATATGAGATCTGGCATGGCCTCATATCATATGAGGCTTGGTGAAAAAAAAGGGCGTTTGTACGCTTTCCTCCCAAAACTAGGCAAAACGTGCTGAAACGCGCTTTCAAAAGCGCGTTCCTAGCTAGGCCTGGTGAAATAAGGGCGTTCGTAGATTTTCCTCGGAGATTTTCCTCCAGAAACGCGACATGACGTGCCGAAAGCGGGTTTCTAGGCTTGCCTCCAGAAACGCAGAAAATGTGCTGAAAAAGGGCACTTCAAGCCATCCCCCCAACGCATGCCGCTGGCGCCGCTGGCAGACGGCCCTCCCACAAAAAGTGGCACCGACACCTCGCCCGACAGCGGTCATCCATCACCGCCCGACGTCTCTCTACAAGGCGCTCGGCGCGGGCGTCCCCTTTCCGGCATGGCGTCTCCCGCGCGGCACGCACGATGGCTCCGTCCCCCCGCCCCCTGCGCGGCGCGAGCAAGAACGAGGGGTACCCGCGGTGGCGCGAGGACGGGCGGCCGCGCGCGTGCACGGCGCTGACGGACCGCCTGCGCTGCGTCGACGACGTGCTGCAGGGAAAGCTCTCCATCGCACAGGCGTGCGCGCAGCGCGACGTCTCCACGCGCACCTACTACCGCTGGCTCGCGCAGCGCCAGCGCATCGAGCGCCTGCTCGGCCGCCTCGAGGACAAGGAGGAGGAGGGGCACGGCAGCGATGTGCACGCGGCGCGCGAGTACGCGCACGCGCACGCGCACGAGACGGAGCGCAAGGTCGAGCACAAGGTCGAGCACAAGGTCGAGCACGTGATGCAGCACATGTCGCAGCACATGTCGCAGCACAAGGCGACGGGCGAGCACGGGCGACGGGCCGTGGCGATCGCGCCGCGGCCGCAGGTGGCGGGGTGCGCGGACCGGGGGCGCAGGGAGGAGAAGGGGGAGGGTGGTGGTAGTGGGGAGATGGGGTCGCCGTCGCCGGGGCACTCGGCGGGGGAGGGGTCGAACGCAGCGGCGGCGGCGGCGGCGGCGGCGGGCGGACGGGTGAGACGATACCTAGGGGAGGGGGCGTCGGGTTTGCG